GTGGTAGGCAACCCAGGCATCTATCTTAGGGTGGAAGGCGACCCCATTATCTATATTAGTGGCGTGTGTGTGGGGGGTGATGCAGGTTCACGGAAGAAAACTCTTCATCACCGAGGTTGGAGGGATTGTCGGGGGTGTCGGAAGCATGGCGGTGGGTGGCGGTTGTTGGGGGGCGGGGCTGAGCGGCCGGCCGGTGGTAGCAGGCGGTGGGAGGAAGAACGGTTGGAGGAAGAAGATGTGAGCTGGACCATTCTTTCTTTATCCAGCGGCTCAAATTGATCCTGGAAAATCGACTGACCCAGTTTTACTTTTTAGGCGTCTTGTAGTTACTCGGTCCTCTTATTTTTGCTCCTTTTGTTCTCTCACCCACAAATGCCATCACAATCTTATAACCATTGCATGCTTTGTCCTAGTAGGTACAATTATACACTCCTTCACAAGTGTAGGAATGATTTTTCAGAAACTCTCGCCGGATAAGTATATGGCACTGATGTGATGCACATCCAAAATAATGTAGATCAAATATAGTCACAAACTGAATACTGATTTGTATGGCCTTGAGACCAAGGGTGAACCACAAGATGGGTTGGTCTTGATGTCAGGTCTAGAAGATGCAGATCAAATGATGCATGCTCGAGAGAGGAGAAAAATAATGTGAGATACACATTGTCAAGAATTGTCCAGCCGCAAGTGATAATTATGATGGCTGCACTGAATTTGGTGTTTCTAAAAATTCGACAATGCTTTGGGTTACATCATGTCTAAGTTGATCTTTGTATTTTTCTCTGTTTTGGGGGGTTGAAACGAAAAGGTAATTCAGGGGTTCCACCAACATGATCTTGGGAACTAAATTTTTTGTTTTAGTAATTGTTTCCTAGCTACCACATTGTCAAGAATTTCGTAAATTTGGTAGTAACGATCAACATATTTATGCATGGACTAAAGTGGTGTGTTTTTTGATAAAAACTAGAAAGGAGACCGAGTTTGATCACATGAGATGAATGATAAACCTTTTCTGTATGCTCACTTGTGTGCCATTATCAGTTTATTAGGTAGGCATCTACAAAAGGAAAATGAGAGAATATATCATTACTAATGTTTTATATAGTATACCGTTAAAATGCTTGGTTACTCATTGATAAAAATGGTTACATACTGGATGACCTATTTCTGAACTAAATGCTAGTATACGTGTGTGAAGCATCCTTGGTAACTCTGTCAATTAACTTGCATATGATTGTGTTAGAAACCTGTAATGAAAACGAAAGGGTTCACTCAGCGTTCACGTTTATACTTTGAAAAAACAGGACAAGACAAGTGTGTGGGACCCATTGACTAGTATGCTACTCCCCACTGGACACAATATTTCTTCGATATTACCTCCCATTTTTTATTCAATGCATTCTCACATGACCACGTTGCCGCCGGCGGGCACTGTAGGGAATCGATTTTTCAGATGGCTTATACTCACCTCATAGTTATCTCTCATACGGTTTCAATAATTTAGGCACTATTTTTTGTGTATTAATTAGTTCTCTATGTATAAGAAATTAAAGCTTGCATAAATCAAACTAAAAGAATCACATATCACATCATTGTCGTTGTTTGGGGATCTAAAATGGGCCTTATTGGTCAAGAAACGTTTTTGGGAAGTGGCAATTTCATAAGAAACACATGTTTCATCTTTTATTTTAGATGTTGCATTGATGAAATTTGTTCCCTAACATAAATTGGATGAACCCAAATGTTTGTTTTCCTCTAAATAATACTCAATACTATCATGGAATGTGGAGGTGGGGGATGAAAACACAGAGATGAAAGGATCATGGGAGGAAGGAGACGACGGAGAGAGGGAGACATCAGGAGATGCAGATGTCATCTCATGTGAATAGTCTACGATTCTCATGGTCACATGATACACTTCTTTTTGTACAGATATTATATTTGCCCGTGGCAACGCACAAACATTTAACTAGTTTGGTAGTAATAATGATCATATTATGCATGGACTAAGGAGTGTGGTAAGAAGACTGAATTGATCACATGGGATGAATGTTAAACCTTTTCTGTTTGCACATTTATTTGAAATTATCTACAAAATGAAAATTGAAGAATACAATGTATTATTACCAAATGTTTTATACAGTTCACCGTTAATTAATGCTTGGTTAGTAGTTGATAAAATTGGTTACGCACATGATGAGCTATTTTCTGAAGTAAATGCTAGTATACCTGTGTGAAGCGTCCTTGGTTACTCCGTTAATTAACTTGCATATGATTATGTGTTAGCGTGTGGGCGAGGTCTCACTTGACTAAGATTTAGTTAACCAAGTCCAACTCAAATGACATAACATGTAAACAAAATTAATTTTTTTGCACGGATTTTCATGTAAGATCCTATAAATATATCATCTAAATCTCGATCGACTGAGATTTTGCAATACCGTATGTGTTAAGTCAAGCCATTCCACATGACCACGTCGCAGCCGGCCGGCACTGAAGTGTCCAAACAAAATGGCCGGCTACGTATACACTATAACAGAGGGCCGGCTAACCAGCTGCTCCACCCCTATAGTCTTCTTCTACCAAGTATAGTAGTGCAAACACATGGCCGGCTAAGCAGCTCAACCAACCGAAAATGGCGCCACCAGTGAGGGATCGCACCATGTACAGGCACCACCTCTGCTTGTGCTTCATTCTTCTTGCGTCCACGGCCACCCTCTCCGCCGCCGTCACGGCTTCCTCTTACTCCACTGCCTGCCCCTCCCTGGCACCGGCTCAGGACCGCCACACCGACGGCGACGACGCCGTTGCACTCATCCGCTCCTTCCAAATCTCCGGCGGCCAGTTCTCCGGGGGCGCCGACGGCCTGTTTTCCCCCGTCGACGACCCCTACAAAGCCCGCCCGTTCCACTTCCTTCCACACGGCGCGTCCCGCACGGACGACCCGGCTCTCGTTCACCTCACCGGTACCTTGACCATCTTTGGTCCCCGCAGCTGGCGCCGTGGAAGCCACCAGTATTACAGCGAGGCCGCGTCCATCGCCTTCGTCCTCGACGGTTACCACTCCTCGGCCTCGCGCGAGCTCTGCATGGTCGGGACCGGCACCGAGCACGCCGTCGACGGTTCTGTCAAGCAGTACCATGACGCCGTCCTCCGCCTCCATGTCCCCAGCCCTCCCAGCCTCGCCGATCCTTTCGTGTCCGGCAGCATGGAGGGCTCCTCCGACCTCGGGACCATCAGCCTCCTCGCGTACGCCGGGGGCGACCACTACAAGTACGACGACTCCGGGCGTGCGGCCTGCAGCCCCGGGCCATCGATGCTGCCGGCCAGTGGCTCGCTCCGGGCGCTCGGCGGTGTCAACTCCGTGTGCGCCCACCTGAAAGAACAGCTCATGATCTCCTACAGGTTGGAGCATGGCCGCACCGTGCTTCCGCGGATGCGCGTCAACCAGATGCAGTGCAGCGCGGACGGCGCCGCCTTGCACGCATACGCGGTGCTCTTCAATGACACCAGGCCGACCGAGAGGGGCTACCGTCGACGCCGCTTCTTGGTCGGCGACGAGGCCTTGGTGGCCGACGGGCACTGGGACGAGTCTCGGCGCATGCTCTGCCTCAGAGCGTGCCGGGTTACGCTACCGGCGCCGGCGTCTGCTCCGGTGGTCGACTGCGGGATCGGGATGAGCTTTTGGCTCCCAGCAGTGTGGACGATGCGGGAAAAGAGAGCGGTGGCCGGGATGCTCTGGAACTCTAGCCAAGCCGACACTGAACCGATGTCGATCATCGACGACCAAAGAAGCAACGCCAACATCTCCGACGTGAAGTACAGCTACAACGACACGATGCTGGAGGAGGCCAGGAAACATCACCAGAAGATCAGCAATGGGAAGAAGATGATAGGGTCAGACTCTTTCCCAGATTTCAACTCTAGTAACGGTGACGCTGAGTTTAGTTTCCAGGCGCTAGACATCAGGGGGCAGGCCTACCCAGTCACAATTGGGTTACGGATGGTCGCCGACAATATTCTGGCCGACGACGATGCCTCCTCCCGGCGTTGGGTGGTCTTCGGGAGCACGCCCACCACCGCCGCGGCCCGGCGTGCGGTGGTTGACGACATGAAGGAGGACCTGCTGAATGTCAGCTATGTCATACGCTACTCCGCTCCAGGTGACAAGATCAGGGTGCGTCCTAGCAATGCGGCCCACTACTCAAACTATAGCGTTGAGAAAAGAAAGATCTTGGCAGAGGGCATTTATGACCGGAAGAGGGGCATCCTGTGCATGGTCGGCTGCCAAGAGCGCACCGGCTCGACGGATTGTCAGACACTGGTAACGGTGCAGTTCGCTTCCCTTGGTTCCAAGGTGCCGGAGCACGGAAGTGGGGCGATCAGCAGCCTCAGAGACAAGACCGATCGCCTCTTCTTTGCGAAGATCAACTTCACCATGCACGGGATGTACTCCGCGCAAGTGGCCAACGCCATATCGAGGATGGACATGGAAAGCGTCATGCTTGTGGCCTCGACGACGCTCTCGTGTGTCTTCACCATCCTGCAGATCCTTCACACCAAGAGGAACCCGGAGGCGGCTCCGGCGACATCGGTGACCATGCTCGCCGTCCTCACCATGGAGTTCCTCGCCCCTCTCGTGCTCAACTCGGAGGCCCTGTTCGCAAGCAGGAGGAGCCAGTACCATGAGCTGCACCCCACGAGCCGGAGGATCGAGATGAACGAGGTCATGATGAGGGCGCCTACACTGATCGCCTTCGTGTTGCAGCTGCGCCTTCTCCAGCTCGCGTGGTCCGGCCGACGCACATCCACCATGTCCGAGCGGACCGTGTTATGGATATGCCTGCCGTTGTACGCCCTCGGAGGAATCGTGGCCGCGGTCGTCCACGTGATCAACGCCCGCGCCTCCACGATCGGCATGGCCGGATGGCGGGTGACGATCTGGCAGGACCTTGTGTCGTACGCGGGGCTGATACTGGATGGCTTCCTTCTCCCGCAGGTCATCCTAAACGCGTCCTTGGGAGCGTCCAGAGCTCGGGCGATCTCGCCGTGGTTTTACATGGGGGGCACCATGCTCCGCTTGATGCCTCATGCGTATGATGTAGTCAGGGCCCAGATCTACAAGCCGAGCATGCGCTCTTCCAAATTGTACGCGAGCCCCCACGACGATCTGTTCGGCGCCGCTTGGGACATGGTTATACCGTGCGGGGTGGCGTTGCTGGCCTTGTTGTTGTTCTTGCAGCAGCGGCTTCCAGGCACCGAGTCACTTCCTTCGCAGAGGAGCAGATCGAGTGGATATCAGATGGTGTCTAACATTTAACATAAGACTGGAGAGTGGGCACCTTATGTAGTGTACCTTACTAGCATTTCTTTTTCATTTCAAGACTCTGGTTACGTTTGTATACTTCACATCTTCTATGTCAGTGAAAAACGGAGGAATTCCAAGACAGTGTATGTCACTATATAAGCGTGGACACATAGCAAATACAGTAGCAAAGCATTGATGATTAAAGTAAACTACAAAACAATCATCATCACAACTATTATATTATCCCACAAATCCACAGTACGTCCATACAAAACTACTATGACGCTAATTTTACTTCATAAAGCATATAGCATCTGAACGTTCACCAGTGTTCTTCACAGGCCGCTCCCTCCCAAGGAAAGGGCCATTGATTATATACTTGGCCTCCACATACAGGCCTGCAACCGTAAATACAACGCCGCCAAGTGTTAATTTCATTACAGTGGTCAGAAACTGCTTCTCATCTTTAGGTGGACTGCAAGCAAACGAAGAGCGACCTGAGTTTGAAACCATTTTCTTTTTTACAGGTTGATGAGAGAAAATTAATGCTAAAATTAGTGTATACCATGGTGATGATGATGCAGGGTCCTTCACTTGTGTGGAGGATTCTGCAATGCTGGCGGCGGATTTGGCTCCATGCTGCAAGGAAGTTTAGATGCTTTGCGTTAGTTACAACGAAATTTTGATACAAGATTTGTGTTTATTACAAGCAGTGAGCCAGTGACACAAAAAAATTTGACAGAAGATTTGGGTTAATTACACACAGTGACAGCACAAAGAATCTTGATAAAATCTACTAGTATTAAAAATTTACAATCAGTTAGCGCTACAAGGGCAACTCTAACCGATTTCCTAAAAGTTAAAGAAGGATCCGGCCGAGTAAAGTTAGTGGAGTAAATTTTTCCTCCTCTATTAACCACAAAAGGAGGATCATGCCACTAGCACCATAGTCCTCTCGGCCCCACCGCCACCACCACCACCATCCTCTCGCCCGCCACCACCAACACCAACAACACCATCCTCACGTCCGGTACCATCACCACCACCACCATCATCACCACCACCACCACCACCCCCCTCGGCTACCACCACCATTCTAAAAAGAGGCTTCCACTTGGGTCAATATCTCCCCATGAGTGAGATCCCAATACTTTTTGCAGTTTCATCCATTGTGGTTGGATTCATGAACATGATAGCATGTTCTTTGGCCACCTCCTCTTCTTCGTCCACCTCTGGATAATGCCAAATTTAGTCATAGTTCAGCTCATGAAGCCCCATCGTTGCCGAGGACTACAAAGATGCTAAGAGTTCGGCCATGTTCATCTCTGCACTACGACAACAAAATAACCAAACTACATCACCATCATCTACCAACAATCACCATCGACTGAAATGTTGAAGATGTTTTTATTTACCTTATTGGCATTCCATCGAACACTTGTCGGCCGCGGCCTTTCTTGCTGGCTACCGTCTCTAAATGCGCCGGAACAATGCCTGTAGGTGTCGCCGGAGACGTTGCACGAGGCGTCGGCCGTGGACGGGGCGACATTGTGGCATTTTTCTTCTTCTTCTTCTTCTTCGCGGCCTCCTCGGCGAGGGCCGATGCCGCTGCCTTCGGTTTACTAGCTTGTTTGGCTCCGGCGGGAGGCTGGCGGGTCATCGCCGGAGAGGCGAGCACCATCCCGGCGGCCTTCGCAACGGTTGGAGCTGGAGCTTCAACGTGGTGAACTTTTTTTTATCTCCAAGCTTTTCTTTGGAGCGGGCAGCGACACGGGTGTCATTTCTGGCGGCGACAAATGGGTGACGGTGGACGACGGGGTGTCGAAAGGGTCCGGGCTATTCATTCCGGCAGGAGGGTCGGTCATCGATGGCGGCGGCACATTGTGGCGGATGCGGTGGGAATGGAGCCAGCGTGAGGGCGGGAGAGAGGTGGCGCCACTTTTACTCAGCTTCACGCGGTGAGGATATTTAGAGATTGGAGGGAGTTTTCGACGGGGGAGAATAGATTATCCTCCTCTATTCAGTTTAGGGGATCGGGTAAGTGCGGCGTAGAGGAGGATACCCGAATTTATCCTCCCTTACGGCTGGATAGAGGATCGGTTAGAGTTGTTCTAATGTGGGTACTTTTGGTTAGGCAACAGGTTTATAAAGAGAGTCGAGGGTAAAACGGGAGGAAGAATCTGCAAGTAATCTTTCTAGCTAGCAAGGTCGGAACATTTTTTTCGCGAATTTGCAAGGTCGGAACATCGGCACATTGTTGATCTTAACTTAGAAAGAAAGAACGTAAAAAATATCTGGATCAGATTTTCCTGATTCCACACGACCTGTAAAGAGTGTGCATACCTTGTTGTTCTTATCAAGCATGCTAGGCGATTCGGAGGAACTGAACCGGCCAAGCGAGCTCCTGCCATGGCTACTCCTCAACGTCAGCTCCTTGGTAGCCGAGAGAAGCCCCTGCGGTGGTCGCTCGAGGGCGCCACCGCAGATCCTCTTCGCCGCAATCCGAAGCGCTGCCGCCATCATCGTCAGTTCGTCGGTTCTCCTCTGTTTTTTCTGGAACAGCGATCCTCTTGTTATGGTAGTCTGGTGCGATACGATAACGATACACCGGTTAAGGGATCGAACTTCTCGGGCCGTATCAGACTGGAATCCTCCCTCCTGTCCTACACTAAAACTAAAGGACGTCGATAACTGCCACACATGTGGCAGAAAGGGAGATGCACCACATGTTTCTAATGCAAACAGATTGCCACGTCATCACATGCATGCATGTAGGAATCTTTTTGGATTTTCAGTTTTTAAAATGTTTTATCTCTTAAACGAAAAATACGATTGAAGATCCGTTTTCACCATTAAATCTCTCGCGACGAGATCTTCAAAACTAGATCCTATGTTGATATGTTTTGTTGAATTTTTTTTGGATTAAAAGTTGACATGTCTATTGCATATGAATTGCCATGGTGTTTACACTGAAGTTGCCATGATATGTTTCAGCTATTTTCTTTTACATTTAAAAGTAAATTTTGACATTTATAAAACGGGGAATTAAGAAACTAGACTTGCCATGAACCATAAACTAAAATTGCCATGATACATGCACGTCAAATTGCCATGGTTCATACAAAAAATAATTTTCATGGTCAAAGTACTGGAGTTGCCATCATGAAAATACTAAAATTGCCATGATCTACAAACTAAAATTGCCACATGGCAACTTTACTTTAAGCCCTATGGCAACTGCAGTGTAAACATCATGGCAACTTCTGGGCAAAAAAAAGTCTTTGAAACATATCAACATGGGGTCTAGTTTTGAAGATCTCGTCGAGACGGATTTAATGGTGAAAACGGATTTTTAGTTTGCTTTTTTATTTAGGAGATACAATATTTTTAAGCCGAAAATCAAAAAGATTCCTGCTGATGTCATATATTCATATGTGACAAAATGAGTGGTGATGAAGGCGTGTGGGCGATGTGCAAACGCCCACACGTGTGGGTGTTAGCTTTTTCCAAACTAAATCGTGTGCTTTTCGTCTCCCTCGAAGCACTGGACCGGCCATATTCTTCCCGGCCACACCTACATTTTTTATTTAGATATATAAAGAGTTTTTCTAAAGATTACTCTTAGTCAAGATTTAATTAGGTCCCCTAAAAAAGATTTAATAAGTTACCTTCATCATCTGGGGGCTGATGGAAAAAATGTGACTCCTGTCGTGGCTGATAGCTACGTCCTGATGTATAGTTCGGTCTAGATAAATCCTTGATAAATAGATATTATTATCAACCTTAATAAATCATAAAAAGGAATTTGCCTCCATTGAAACATTTACCTTCTACATGACGAAATAATTAGCCACACCCATAACAATTATTCAGGCTTTCAGTTGCTTGTCTAAAGTTTGTATAAATAAATTTCAATTGGTACACTAGGTCCATCATTTTTTTTGCGAGAACACTAGATCCATCATGTAGAGACCTTTGGGATCAACAAAGAACTACTCCCTCCAATCCATATTATTCGTCTTAGATTTGTCTGGATACGGATGTATCTAACACTAAAACGTGTCTAGATACATCTAGTGCCGGTGCTGGAGTTTCGGAGGCCCTAGGGAGAATTCAATGAATGGGCGTGGCGGCAACAATGGAGGAATTATGTATTCCATATATTGATACAAAAATTCTTGCAAAGCTATAGTAAACAATGATAATTTTTCCTGATGTAATATAAGGGAACCATGCCTTATGATTGTTGAGCATGAATATGATTTGATCATGTTTATTGCAATACAGTTATTCATTTAAGTTAGAGAACAATTGTTGTTCTGTTTACATGAATATGATTTGATCATGTTTATTGCAATACAGTTATTCATTTAAGTTAGAGAACAATTGTTGTTCTGTTTACATGAATAAAACCTTCTATGGTCATACACACCAACGAAAATGATTTGTTGGCTCTCGATCGTAGTGATACACATATTCATAATATTGAAGCCAAAAGATGCAAAGTTAATAATGATAGTGCAACTTATTTGTGGCACTGCCGTTTAGGTCATATTGGTGTAAAGCGCATGAAGAAACTCCATGCTGATGGGATTTTGGAATCACTTGATTATGAATCACTTGATGCTTGCGAACCATGCCTTATAGGCAAGATGACTAAAACTCTGTTCTTCGGAACAATGGAGCAAGCAACTGACTTATTGGAAATCATACATACTGATGTATGTGGTCCGATAAGCGTTGAGGCTCGCGGCAGGTATCGTTATTTTCTGACCTTCACAGATGATTTGAGCAGATATGGGTATATCTACTTGATGAAACATAAGTCTGAAACATTTGAAAAGTTCAAAGAATTTCAGAGTGAAGTGGAAAATCATCATGACAAGAAAATAAGGTTTCTACGATCTAATCGCGGAGACAAATATTTGAGTTACGAGTTTGATCTTCAGTTAAAACAACGTGAAATAGTTTCACTACTCACACCACCTGGAACATCATAGTGTAATGGTGTG